TCCTCTGCAACGTTGGGAAGGCCACCCTGGAGTCACTTTGCCAGATAACAACTATGTCCTGATCTTTTCTGGATTGAGAATAATTATACATCTGTTCACTCTTTTGCAAGCAGATCACTGAAAATAGATGCATTAGCTGAAATTGCAGGTGTTGGGGGATCTATCAGTAGTGAACTTATAGCAGAGGAAAAGTGTGCAGCAGCATACGTTACGAGGGACGTCCAGATGCTGGTGGGCAGGTGCAGCACGGATTGCTGCCCCTGAATACTGCGGGCACGACATGCACTCTGTATGTAATCCGGCGCAGGTGAAGGTTTCCCGCATGCTTGGGAAGAGACTGAAGTGTCGAGTGCTGTCTTTTCTCCTTTGTTGTTTTCTAACCACCCCTCTTTTTCTGTCTTCATAAACATACACCTGTGCTTGTGACAACTTCTTATGAAGAGGTAGTAGTCCATAAAGAAATGCCCTGGCAGCCACGTAAGCTGTATGAGAGACAGTCAGGCTGAGCGGTTAAAGCAAGAGGTAGTGCTGTCTCCTGTTGGAAACCTAGAAGCTGGAGCGCAGAGCCGAGCACGTGAGCTTGGAGCCGTTGGTCTCTGCTCCTCACATTGCTCCATCGCTGCTGCTCTTGAATCAGTTTTCTTTCTCTCCTGTCCTATATTTCCTCCTCTGTGCCACCAATGGGGTGGAATAGATGGGCCCCAAGTGTGCTGGATGCTGCAGCTTCCATCGCTGCCACCCACGCCTGCCCCACTGTTCTGAGACAGCTCTGTGGGAGAGCAGCAGCCTCCTCCGGCCATGGCAGCCAGCAGCCTCTGTACAGCTCCAAGAGCCCCCGATGTACTTGTTTTCTCTGGTTCATTGCTGGTAACCCTGAAAATATTTTTTAGATACATTGGCACCCGGCACTAAAACACATAATTCTCCTCCTGAGCTAACTCCTGAGTTAGTGGATTTTCGGTGATCATCATTACATTACAAGTTTTTTGAAATAAGGAGAGGCTCTTCTAGCCTCTTGATTTTGTCAATGCAAATTTCTCAGGTGACTGTGAGGGTGGCCAGGGGAAGCGGAAGGTCGGTTCCCCATAATAGGGACACTACTGTTACATCTCCACAGCTGACAGAATGTCAGTCAGCACTTAGTGGGCTGAGCGTTGGAGGGGACATCTCTGGAAAGAATGGCCACAAGCACTGCAGATAAGCTGAAGGTAAGGGGGAAACTCATCACTGGGCACCAAGCTGCCTTGGAAGGGAGGTAAGGAAGTCTGGCTAGTCAGTATCTGAACCAATGGTTCTTAATTTATAGACATAGACAGAAAAGCACAGGGAAATTAGGCATACATAGACAAAGTCAGTAATCACAGCCAGCTATGGCGTAGAAATTTATTAGTAGTGATTAATAGCAATGCTGATTTCAAACCTATGAAACTCCTAGATATATCTTTCTTAAATGACTATCTTATTGTGTGCTTTCCTGCTTAACAACTCATACTTATGACATATTGCTGGATATTTTCAGCTGTAAACACCAAGCCCTCCCCTTGCAACTCCGGCTTCACACCCCCGGGCCCTCCAAGGTGGTTTTAGCTGGGGCTGTGCTGGGTCCTCTCCTCCCATCCCTCCCCTCCCGCCACACAACCTCCAGTGCATGCTTCCGATCCTTTCCTGACATTAACCGTGCCAACTGTGACGCTGGTATTTTCCTTGAATTTTTTAGCACTCTAGTAAGTTTTACATTTTTTAAGTCTCAAAATTTTAATTCACAAGGATTTCCACCTCTGGTGCCTTCGTCTGCCCTAAATGGACCCCAATGTCTTTTCGCTCATAAGGGACTCTAAGTTTTCAAAGGCAGCCATTGCACTCAAGCTCACAGAACGCCTCGTGACTTGGGGGTGTTTCAGCCTGCAGTCCAGGTAGAGCCCTTTGGCGGGCGTTACTAGCGCTGACACATAGCATCAGATTAGCTGCGGCTCAAGGGCTGCGCACCTTGCGAGACGACTGGTGTGGGGACAGGATAACTTCCTGTTTCTCTCCTTACATCTGCCGGTGTCTTCCACATCTTTAGTTGTGTGTATATACAACACTTTACCAACACGTTTTGTCTGTGCCACAGAAGTCTTCATTTAGGAAAAGAAAAAAATGATACCTTACTTTTAGAGCTACATTGTACTGTCAATTAGTGGTATAAAGCCAAGCTTCTGAAAAAAAAAAAAATGGAACTGAGAGAAAGGAGGCACAGTTGTGGCCAAAGTGAGTTATCCGCTGGCATGAATACTTTAATTTCCCACCAGCAGGAAGCTTAGATGTGAGGACTGGAAGTGCAGATTCTTTGCCCGTCATCCAGAGCTGTGACTATCGAGACTGTCTCACTTCCTACGGAAGGCGAAAGGAGCTCAACACTACTGGCCTACTCAAGAATTAATATCTCATGCCCAGGGTTGTTGGATTTCTCCTCATTAACTGATTATCTATGACAGATTTAAGTTTCACCACCGAATTTTGTGTTTTCTCCCTTTGTAATTTTCCTCCCTTATCTGGAATATTGCCCATAACAAATCTCTATCTTGGACGAGTACTAAGAAGAAATGGTGCTTATGTTGCTTCTGTTATTTTCTTCAACTTCTGGGGTATTAATTCCTTTCTGAGGCCTCAGAAATGATGTGTCTGACCGCCATGGACCACAAGGCACACCCATAATTTTGGTGGATGGCTCATTCTCCAGAAGTGCACCTCTTCTATCATTCTGTCACTGAGGAGGAGCAAGGCGCCCATGATTCAATGATGAAAATTGAATAACCCCGAATATGTCCCTGAGATGTGCACCTGCTTTACTCCAGACTAACACAGAAAAATAGGAATTATTTCTATTTAACTCAAGAAAACTTTCATATTATTTTATTTTGTTCCCTCTAACTTAAAGAATTTCTTTACCATCTGTGGTTATTTTTAACTGATAAACATGAGGGATTGATGATATAATAGTAAATTTTGGGAAAACCCAAGTGACCATCACCTAAGGAATAGATTAAAAAGATGTGGCATTTTTACACAATGGAGTATTACTCAACTATAAAGAAAGGTAAATTTAAGGCTTTTACAGGTAAACAGATGCAAGTAGAGATTGTACTTGTAGGGGAAATAAATCAGACCTGCACATGCAAACATCATCATATAGTCTTGCTAGTGTGAGAATCTGGCAGAGTAAATAAAACCTGAAAAGTACAATAGATACCGTGAAATGGGAAGAATCTGTTGAAGAGAAGAAAGAGCTGAGATGAGGAAAAGGACAGGAGAGGAGCTATAAGGGGAGGAAGATGCATTCGTGTCTCTATGTAGGATGGCTTGGATCATTGCACTGCTGATTTCTGCTGGAAAACAGAGGGGAGCAATCGATGCTTACATTTTCTCTCTTTTTTCTTATCCTTTTAAATTTCTTGTAATTTTTTTTCAATTTTGCATGCTTATAACTGATAATCTGAACAACTTATTTAAAGACAACACAATGCAATACAGCAGGCTTGTTGAATTCCTATTGATTTCTGTGTTGAAGTTCTGTATCATTTCTCATGTTTTGGGTTTCGTTGTTTATTTTTACTAGTTTGTACTCTCCATAATAAAAATAGTAAAACAGATAATAAACCTAGACAAGAAACCCTCGCTAGCAAGGACTCCTAGTCACACGCACCCCACAGGCACCGGCCACACTCCCTATGCCGGAAGTCTGCGGATGTTCTGCGCAACCGCGATCAGAGAGGCGCTCACGTCATCGCTGAACCCTACACAGCAGCGCTACTGCAGAGCGTCTTAGCAGACTCCAGAAAGCACGTCCACGAGCGAACCCCAAGCCCTAGCTGGCTAAGCAGAGTGCAGAGGAGCCCTGCTTGAGATTTCTGACCCAATATTTTTTTTTTCTTTTTGCGGAACCAGGGATTGAACTCAGACCCTTGTGCTTGCCAGGGAAGTGTTTATTCTACTGAGCCATCTCCCCGGCCCCTCTGACCCCATATTGTCCTGTGAAAACAAACAGATCCAAGCTCTTAAAACACTCAGTCCTAGAGCATAAACTTAATTCTCCACAGAGCTGGGCACAGGCACCTTGGGCCTGGCCTCCTTTTTTTTTTTTTTTTTTTTTTCCTGAGAAAAAGTAGAAACAATACACAATTTCAACTAAACAAAATAACAGGAATTCAACAATGGTTCTTATAGTGCATAATGGTTGTTATGGTGCATAATGTTGTCTTCAAAGTAGTTATTCAGAGTACCAGAGATCAGCATGCAAAATTGGATTTTAAAAAGTCATAGGAAATTAAAAGGAGAAAAAAATTAAGCATTAACTGCTCCTTTCAACAGACCAGCAGAAATTGGCAGTACAGTTATCCAAGCTGTCCTGCATATATGCAGACACACCTTGTCCCTTGCTTCTTCCTTTTTGTCCCCTGATGCTCAAACTTTCAAGGCCTGTTTAGTAATAACGTCACTGAAATCATAGGGTTTATGAGAAAACGTGAGTTCATTTCACATCAGTTTCCCAAGTCACAAGTGCATGTCCACATGCGACCTTCACGAGGTAATCATCCTCGTGGCAAGAGCCATTTAAGGACGTTGCTTATGATGCAATATAGAAAATCAGACACAGGGCCATCCTCAAGAAACTTCCAACCTAACATGACAAGATTGGAAGATGTACACAGAAGATGGCTCTGAATAAAGCCGATGCACGTGCTAAAAGGTACTGCATGGGTCACCGCACTCACTTCTCCCTCCCTCCCTACAGGGTGCTGACCGACAGTGACGATTTAGTGTAGAGACAATTGTGTCTGCAGGGTCACGTGATTCGTTAGTACCAGAGCGGGCCTCATAGGAACTCTGAAGGGGACACTGCCTCTGCTACCCACCTTGCTCTTGCATGCCATTCCTGGTGGGTGCTTGTCAGATATGGCATAGTTCCTAACCCATCCACTCTCTGCCCCCATCCCAGGAAGTGACCACGTGATGTGGAGATGGAGGCCACTCCCCAGAACACCACCGACTTCATCCTCTTGGGCCTCATTGTCCACCCGGCCCTGCCAGGGCTGATCTTCGTGGTAGTCTTCTTCATCTTCGTAGTGGCTGTTACCGCCAATGTGGCCATGGTTCTGCTCATCCGTGCAGACTCCCGCCTCCACACACCCATGTACTTCCTGCTCAGCCAGCTCTCTGTCATAGACACTATCTACATCTGTGTCACTGTCCCCAAGATGCTCCAGGACCTGCTGTCTGAGGGGAGGACCATCTCCTTCCTGGGCTGTGCATTCCAGATCTTCTTCTACCTCACTCTGATTGGAGCAGAGTTCTTCCTGCTGGGCTTCATGGCCTATGACCGCTATGTGGCCGTGTGCAGTCCACTGCGCTACCCAGTGCTCATGAGCCGCAGGGTCTGTGTGGGCATGGTACTAGGCTCCTGGCTGGGGGGCTCTCTGGATGGCTTTCTGCTGACACCCATCACCATGAGCTTCCCCTACTGTGCATCCCGGGAGATCAATCATTTCTTCTGTGAGATCCCAGCCGTGTTGAGGCTGTCGTGCGTGGACACCTCACTGTACAAGATGCTAATGTATGCATGCTGCGTGTTGATGCTGCTGGTCCCCATCTCCATCATCGCAGTCTCCTACACGCGCATCCTAGTCACTGTGCACCACCTGACCTCAGCCGATGGCAGGCGTAAAGCCTGGACCACCTGCTCCTCGCACGTCCTGGTGGTGAGCATTTTCTATGGGGCAGCCTTCTACACCAATGTGCTGCCCTACTCCTACCACACCCCCGAGAAGGACAAGGTGGTTTCTGCCTTCTACACCATGCTCACGCCCATGCTCAACCCGCTCATCTACAGCCTGAGGAACAGGGATGTGACCACAGCTCTGAGGAGAGTGCTCGGGAGGTGGGCCTCGCCCAGAGTCAGGGCCAGGGACATGCCTAGGAAGAGCTGGTGGTTGACAGCAGCTGGGCTGATGGAGGGGCCAGTGATACGGTCCCCTCAGAGTGTGTGTTCTTGGTGATGGAACTGCTCAGTGTCATGTTGACTATGAGGTATCAGTCGGCAAAATCCCCCCATGAAAGCATCCTTTTCAGACTGTCGCTGAAGGTGGACTTAGTCTGGGCTTTACCCCACTGGCTTGCCCAGATTCACCACTGTTTCTGCACAGGTCTTTCAGCTAAGCAGCCTTGCAAACCATTCGAGGTCGATGGAGCACAGACACACCTATGAGAAACATATGGTCATGTGTCTGTTGTGTTGTACTGCTGGCCAAATTGGGGGGGGGGGTTGCAGTGCAGTGCTCAGAACTGAACCCAGGATTCAGGTCTGCATGCTAAGCCCGTGCTGTACCACTGAGTTCCACCCTCAGCCCCTCCTGACCAAGTTTTCAAATGAAAACAGACCCATTGCACATCCACAAGCTCAATGATTTAATTTCAAATATCCAATAAGGAAAATATTCTCCAATGCTCATAATGTAGAAATTTTATTTAGGAAGTTTTTGTGAAGATGATAGGTTTGTATTTTGGGTTTTATGTTCATCCTATGCCTAGTCTATGTTCATTGCATAAATGTCTTTTTTTAACCTAAAAAACTGCATAATGAATTCTTTTCTTGTTTTATTTTGTCTCTCATTTTCTTTTATTAACTTTCTAAAAAATTTACCTAAAAGAGAGTATAGTAACAATTGATATGACATTAGAAATGGTACACATTTAGAAGACAAAGATGAGAGACAGCGCCGGGGCAAGTGAGAG